ACAGAGGCTTTCATTGCTGTTGTCGACAGAATCTCGAGAGGTGCCCCATAAATTGCTCCGACATTATGAGTAATCTGCTTAGCAAGATCTAGGGGAGGAATTTGCTGAATCGGTTGCGGTTTGTTATCGAGAGTTTGCTGAGCTAGCTGCTGTGAGTTGTCCCTCGGCTTCCAATTATTTACTTGGTTGTCTCTGCAAGAACCACGATTGTTGTTTCGTCTGGGGATGTTGCGCTGAAAGGCAGATTTTTCTCGAGAACGACGGGTATCTCCTCGAGCGGTGCCTTGTGTATTCTACACATACTGTTGGAATTTCTCAGACTTCACTCCTGCTTCAATTTTCCGCTTGAGTTCCCAACAATCTTCCGTATCGTGCCCATGGTCTTTGTGGTATTCGCAATACCGATCCGTGGACTTGTTCGGATTATGAGCCAGTGGCTTTGGGACTGGAAACTCGTCCTTGTGGATTTGGAGTATTTCTCTGCGAGGCTTTATCAACGGGGTGAGTAATATGTCGTGCCTGGGCAGGGAAGGTTTGCTTTCAGTCAGGGATTTATATCCGTCCTTCCCTCCTTTCTCCCCTACAAGTGAGAAAGATTCCCGAGAATTCTTCAGTGTTTGTTCCCGTTGGATATAGCTTTCCACCATGGCCTACGTCTCTTGGGTGTTTCGTGGAGGTTTAGTGGTTAATTTTACTCGCAGGGGGCGGATTATTCCCAAGGATTAAGTCCTTGGATGAATCCATTCCGTACGTCTCTGTTATCAAGGTTGTCAATTTGGAGAGATTCATGGGTAAAGCGGCGATGAAAATCCGAGAGACTCTCGTTATGTCCTTGTCTTATTGAAGGCAGGTCAATGGACATTTTTGTAACTTGCTTGCTGAGGAAAAACCGGGTAGCTAGTTTTACCGTGAGATCCTCAAAGCTGTCGATGCTTCCTTCCGGCAGCTATCCAAACCAACGTTGTGCTTGCCCATCGAGGAATGATGGTAAAGCTTTCGCCATGAAGTCCAGGGATGCATTGCGGATTCTCATGACTTGGACATGTTTAAAAATCGCTGCGGATCAGAATCTCCTACATAACAGGTGAAGTCTTTGGGGAAGTCGAAGTCTTTAGGTTTCGGACAGTCTCGAATCCTGGGGATGAAAGGGCTTCGGTCCACGATCATTCCTATCATCCTCCGCATTAAGTCTCGAATCAAAGGATCCTGGTTGCCTCGATTTTCCTGATTTCGCGGTGAAGGATCTCCTCCTCGATGATAGTTATGACGGGACTTTTCTTGTGTCCCTTTTGATCCGAGTCGAGAGTGGACATTGCCCCTCGGGGGTTTCCACTCCCTTTTAGACAGTTCCTCGACGCTGGGTGATCTTCATCGATCTTGTCTGCAAGATTGTTTCTTTTGCTTGTGCTCCTATGCAAATTGCTGAATCGCCCGATAAACCACCGGATTAGTCTTCTCAAGTGCTTCCCAGAAAGTATCACCGGGGGTCTCGGAAAGTTCTGTGCGAAAAGCTTCACGGTAGGGGATTTGTTTACGAGCCCTTTCGTCCCCTTCGTTTGGGACTGGGCGTTTACCTCTTCTGATCTCGAGGAGATCCAAGATCCATCTCGCCTCTTTCTCTTCGACCAACTCCTCCATCTCTTGGGCCGTTGGGTCGGGCAGGCCTAACAGACAACAGCGCTTGTACTCTTCGAGGATATATTTCTTTTTTCTTTGGTTGAGGGAATTGTCGTCCTTCAACTTCTTCAGTTTTGCTTTGATCTCGGCCAGCTGTTGTTTTTTATACGGGTCGGGGGCTTCACAGTGACCTTGCTGATCGGTTGGTTTTATAGGGGTGGTCTCTTTCTTCATCCGTCGGTCGTTTCTTTTCCGCTTTTGCCTCCATCAGAAGTACGCTAGGATTTCGCAGTCCTCGGGGCTCGTCTGTATTCCAGTTGATGCAGCACTGGATTAAGGACTATCAACTACCACCATCTTTTCTTCCCCCGACTCTATTCTGGAAACGTTGGGATCAGATTGAAAGGTTTTGAAAAGCTTGAGAAAGCTTGGTGACACAGACCCTAGTTTTTCGGGTCCCACTGGGCATGCCACGTGACGATACCTGGAGTTGTACTGCGGCTTTAGGGGGAACACCGGTTAGGGTTTCCTGCAAAACAGAACCTCAGGCGTCTCCCGATGGTAGACACTCCGAAGCTTAAGTCAGAAAATAGCGTTATGTGTGTATATTGTTTGATAGCCAAGTTTGCGTACCTTAATTGTGGAACCAGCATCCCTATTTATATGCAGGGAAATATCATCATCGTAACCAAACCCTAATAGGGTTTAGCACTGTACCTGCCCTATTGGAGTCGGTTGGCCATTCACACAGTTCTTGGGCCGGTCCAATACCGGGGCTGGATATGGATCCGTCATCTGTTTTGCAATCTGTAAAAGCTGCATTAAACTACATTAAACAAAGAAGAGTTTCATGAGAAAAACTCCTGGAAAAGAGTTCCAGAGCTATGAGAAACAGGCCTGACGATCGAGGAACTGAGATCTGATTTTATTGCATTTTCAGAAAAAACTGTCAGTGAACATGTCTTGTTTTAACCAAGACTTTCGAAGATTCATAAAGACTGATTGACAAACTATTGAATGAGGGTTAAACCTTGAAATGAGATTATCGAAAGTAATCAAATTTTAGGCAGAAAGAGCCACAAACTATGAAGACCCGAAGCCCCAAACTTGGCCACTCGAATCTGAAAATTCTCTTCTTATTTCAAACACAACGATGCTTCCAGTTTCAAATTCCTATTCCGTCCATCCATTAGTTTCTAAGCCATTATTAACTTCTCCATTAAATTATTAAACCATTCCAAAACCACAACTACTAATATCTACCGATTGCATGCAACTCAAGAATCCAAGCAAAACAATATATAACCATCCCTACTTCACCATAATTTAACATCTAAAAACTGGAGAATGGAAACTTTAATATTAATATTCACCTCTTTTGGCGGCCCTTCCTAGTTTGAACCTCTTTCTTTCACTTATTTATCCTTCTTAAAGGATTAAAAACTGGGTAGAAGAAGTCAAAAAAATTGGCTATGCAGGTTGATGTGATTATGGTACTGGCTGGCGGGTGATTTGTTCGATGAAAGAGGAAGGAGTGGTGATCCCCCGCAGTGGATGAGGAATTTTGAGGGATTGAGTGAGATACATTTTCTTGTGAATGTTGAAGGGAACAGAATGAATGAATCAAGATATGCAACGACTAAAAAATGAAATGGAAAAGGAAAAAACAAAAGAAATAAAAGAGTATAATATCGAGGGATTTGTAAATAATGAAATGAAATAAAAGGGTCGAATCGCGTTAATATAAGTGTATTTAAATTTCCAAAAAAAGAGTAGTAATTTTGCGAAGACACTTTTTATCATCCAAAACGAAAATACTTTATTTGCCTTCGATAGTCAAACGCATCTCCTCTTTTCTTATGTCTGTTACTCCCTTTTCACCAATTTGTCCGATTTTCTCTACCTACTTAAACATCTTTTATTTATCATTATTATTCTTTTGCTACTCTCTTGGCCGTGACAATGGAGAAATTTTCTTGCTTTTTTAATAGGGGCTATAATACACACATTTTTGCCATCTCTTAATAACTTGACCAACAGTTAAGATCTAGTTAGCTAACTAAGCTGTTTGCTTCAATTTAATTGATTTTCTTTGATAAACTTTTTTTCCTTTTTTTTTAATCCTTTCCTCTGTAGATTTTCTCAAATTAAAAGACCTCACATTATTGTACAAAAATATTATATGCCGAATTTATTTCTCATTTGAAATTAAAATTTTCTAAATAACAGCTCTAGATAAGAAAAAAATTTAGCAGTGGGTTGGCTATGATCTCTTTCTGAGGTGGGGAAAACTATTCTTAGCTCTTTGATATATATATATATATATATATATATATATATATATATATATATCACGATTCTCCATTGTCGATGTTATTTTTAACTCTTTTATCTAGTATTTTGTGTGCCTGTGATATTGAAAATTTGAGCAGAAAACGTCAATCTTTTGTTCTTAGCCCAAGCCATACCATTTAGGTCATTGTTGATTCCAACAAGACTCTCAGAGAGCGATTTTACTTTGGCCTGAATTGTGATATATATAATGGAGTGATTTCATTAATTTTCATTTTGTGTGAAAACGTTTTTCCCTTTTTGTGAATGTGGAATCATCTATTTTTTTAATACAAGAACATTTGTTCTTCTAATCCCAACAACTCACAAACAAGGAAAAATGAACTATTGTAGTTGTGCAGAACAGAGGAAGGAAGATTGCGTTTCACCTCTCAAGGCCAACTTTGGAACATATATATATATATATATATATATATATATATATATATATATATATATATTGGATGTTAAAAATGGTTTTGGCAAGATCACTGACCTTCTAAAAAAAAGAAAAGAACAATTTAAAATTCGCAACAAAGAAATGTTATTATGGTTCTTCTGGAATTCCACAACACACAATAATAATGCTTACTAGTTCATCTTCCCGAGCATTTTCGGGCTCAGAATCCACGGCGAAAGAAGCAACCCTAATTTCACACAGCCATCAACTGATTTCCATCCCTCCTCCTCCACATGAACCATCAATTCTGAGCCTTGTACCCTCCGAATCCAAACGCGATAAACTTCGGAAGTGAAGCCAGAGATTCCGGCGAATCGGCAACAAATCCGAGGAGGATACCGATTTAATCATAGGTTCGGCAGTTGCTGTAGCCGGTGATCAAGATCTCTTGAGACAAATCTTGCTTCATTTGCCGGCAAAGTCCCTCATTCGGTTCTGAACCGTCTCTAAGGATTGGCTTTCTACCATTTCCGACGGGTTTTTCCGGCGGCTGCGTTCACAGAGGCATATCGGCGCACACCTTCTGTGCCGCTTCCACGGTGGGGAGGCGGAGCTTAGCTTCATTTCCCCTCGCAAGGAGTTTCCCATTTCAATGGGTAAGATTGTCTGGCGCTTGAGAGATTCTTTTAAATTCAGTGACCTAATGGGAATTCATGCTTGCAATGGGCTGGTGGCAATTGCTTTAGTAATTCATAGAGATGATGGTCGTTCTACCAGATTTTTTGTGTATAACCTCACTACTGGTCAACATAGCCGTATACCACCCGCCTATTCTTCTAATTGGACTGGGCCTGTTCAAGAATATAAAAATTTTGCAGCTCTGAACATTGCATATGATCCATTGCAATATGATCACTATAGATTGGTGTACGTTTGGGTGGATGATTCGGATGATTTGGAAGAGTTGTATGATTCTGAAACTGGGTATTGGAGGGACGCCAAATGTGGACTGGATTGTGGTTATGATGATGTTTATTGGAAGGGAATATTATGGAATGGAGATCTTTTTTGGGTTTGCCGACGCTGGAACATTGTATGTGTTGACATTGAGACGGCTCGTCAGAAGTGTAGTGTGTGTCCTTTTCCTTGTCCAGACAATATACTCTCTCCCACCCAGAAAAAGTAACGTAGTTTTGTGATTTGTGCATTACGTTTTAGGTTTTCGTATCCATATCTTCAAAGGATGCGTTCGGATGCGTGGAAGAGAATATTCTAATTTGCCATCTCCATCATTTTTCAACTAGTATCAAACGAAAGTTTTTAAAACAAAAGTTTTCATCTACCCACACAATCATCGAATATATATATATATATGTATATAATATATAATGCATTTTGTCACCTCAACGTAACACAACCACGTAAATTTATAATTTGTGCCCATTCTTTTTCGTTTTAGTTTTGATGCACGTGCGGACAACTTAAAAATTTATCAAACAAATAGCGTGCGACCGAAGGTACAGCTATACTAGCATAATTGATGATAGAAGCTCTGGATTTTTAGGAAATGCAGATTGAGGATTAAGCTCCAATATATAACCCCACTCAACTCCCGGTTCATCAGTAATCAAAATAACTAGAAAAACATACTTAATAAACGTGAAATCGTACAAGTAAGAAAAAAAAAGTCTCCACAAATGAAGAAATCTTTTAAACCCTTGCAAACAAACATTAGAAATTGTATTACAAACAAACATGACAATCCTATTGGAACGTACAAAGTACCAAATACACTAAAATCACACGTAACTAAATTAGTCAACCACGGTTTCTTGAAACAAAAGCTTGCGAATAAATGCCTAAAAAGAAATGCAAAACAACAATGTCCTCTTTATGATGGCATTTTCATTTCCATTCGTTATTTTATTTAACTAGCATGATCCTACTCATTTCCAGCCTGAAATGCAACCCCTAGAACATTATGCAGCAACTGTTGCAGGCACTTACTCGTTTCCAGATCTTCGCCAAGGAAACGACTAAAGCTGGCATCTCGGAAACAGCTAGGGAGACACTGTCGAAGAGACTCGCAGGCCTTGGGGTGATCCGATAATCGAATATAGCACTGCACAATAAGCTTCAGGATATAATGAGAAGACTCTTCACATAGTTTAGTAGTAACCATTTCCCCAAGAACCCGGGTGATGGAGATTAACCGCTCTTCAGTCGAACATACATACTCCAGCCCAAATTCCTCCTGTAAAATCCTATGTAAAATAAATGTAGCAATTTTCTTTGATAATTTCCCACCAATCTCAATTGAATGCAAACAGATCTGTAAAATCTCTGTCTCTAGAAGCAGACGAATCACATCAGGGTCGCTACCTTTTACCAATTCGCCCATGACACAGAGACTAGTAACCCTTATGAACCCGAAACTCTTGGATTTGTTCGTCGTATTGATGAATGGGTAGAGATAAAACGGAATGTTGGCTTTCAAGAAGGGAATTTTAGTATCTGGATGCGTAGCTACACGCTGGAGAAGAGTAAAAACGTTGGCAACCCAATTTGACATAGCGGGAATCAGGTCCGGCGAAGACAAATGCGGGTAAACTGAAATGATTTCCTGAAGGAGTACAGCTATGATACCTGGAGAGTTCCATATCAATGGACCCAATTCCGGGACGCCTTCTTTAATCTTAGAAAGTCTAAGGAGGGCTTCTTCTCGGAGTGAAGGGTTTGTAAGTTGATGTACAAGATCCTCAACGGAATGCGGCTTCATCTCCATCACGGCGACGGCGGGGGCTTGATTTGTTGCGGCGGATGTACTGCTAGAAGCCGCGGAAGCGCCGCCGCCCGGACCTTGGGGCGCGAGCTGCGGCGGGTTGGACATTGATTATCTTATTTTTACAGGTTGGATATTTGTTGTGCTGACGAGGAAAAGGATAATCTTTTTACCGAAATTAGGGTTTTCTTGTAGTGAAGTAGATTTACGTAATTTGCTTTGTTTCTTTGTAGTAATTGGGCCGAAATGTTCATCTAAGTAGGGAGTCCAACTTAGCTATTGGACCATTCTTTTATATTCCAAGCCCAAGCAGGAAACTCTTCCTGCATTTCTTTGAGGGCGAACTATATTTTATCCCTGAGTTTTGACCAAATCTACCATAAATCTCCCGAGATTTGATAATACCGTCATATATCAATTAAAACTAAAGAAATCAACCACCAATTTGAAAGGAGTAATTGACGTTCTGATTATGGAAATTAAAGACACAATAGGGAACTCTTCTACTCATGTTGCATCGAGATCAAAGATTTACTTCAAGTCAAAATTTTCGAAATGCATTTTTTTGTCTTAAAACTGTTATTAGCATATTTTAAGCCTTCTTCTTCTTCTTAACCTTTTAAGTAAAAGTTTTAAAGCATTTTTTAAATCAATGCTTAAATAGAAGATTACCAATCTGGAGAAGGGAAATGAATTTTTGAAAATATTAAAGTCAATCCTAATTCCTAAGACAAAAATTAATACTGAAATCATTTTAAATTTATGTCTTATAATTAAGACCGGAGAGTAAACTAAATCGTTAAATTATCGTTAGAAGTTAGACGCAAAATTTTATGTCTTCCTTCTTAGCTTCTTTAGAAACTCACCGCAACGTGAAAATTAGCCTTAATCAGCACAATCGATCGAGTATCTAGCGCACAACCTTATAATAGCCTCTTTACTAGTAGTCTTGCAAATAAAAAGCATTCTCATTTCTGAACTATCTACTCTTCAAATTGAAATCAGTGCATACTGATTGCAATATATATATATATATATATATATATATAAAATTCTACAATTCAATTCTTGATTTTTGACCGAACTATTCAGTCAAACTCAAAGCAATTAAAACATGGCACGTAAAAAATATTTGTAGGGAGAGTAACATCCTAACGATGTCTACAATTTCCATATACTAAAATTAATGAAGTCACGTACAGCAGCCGGTAAATACTTCTTCGTATTCTCTATCTGTTTTGCCACTCTTCATCTGAACGCCCAAGAAGCCGATAGCCGATGGTCAATATAGTCAATGGTCGATGGTTCTGTGACTTCTGTCTTTTCGTCGCTCATGGGAACTATGGTGTCTTGTAAAATCCAAACTTAATTAATTTGTAGTTTTGTACTATTAGTTTTACTATATTTTCGTTTTAAAGCCTTTTTAATGTTCATTTCAATTTTTCTTATTCTGGTTGTCGGTGGACTTTTGGGAGCATAAATTGTTTGTGTATAGGATGTGGTTAAAATACAATTAATTATAGCAAAAGTATCAAAAAATTGCTCCTTTTCTTCGTTTGATATCAAATGTTCAAATATAAACCACGCGTCACTAGAAACTTAGAGAGTGTCACCAATCGATTTTCCGTTAGGGTTTCATCCAAAAAGTAACAGTCAACCCATTTTTCACCAATCGATTTTCCGTTAGGTTTTCATCCAAAAAGTAACAGTCAATCCATTTTTCATGTGGAAGGCATGTGTGTTAACTAAGGGGTATTTTAGTCTTTTCAAATTTGAATTTTTAAATTTTTAAAATTAAATAAAATATTGCTAAAGAATATTATTTTCAGTTTATATTTTAGGATTAATCTCAATAAATATTATTTTTAAGTTCCACTCTTTATTTGACCACTTTATCTTTTAATAATTCCTCAACCCCATCAACTTATTTAGGGTTAATATCAAAAACACCCCTGAGATTTACTCGATTATCTAAAACTTCCTTAACCTTTAAGAAAATATCAAATACACCATTAGACCATGGATCAACTATCAAAATAATCGACTGGCATGGTGTTAACTATGACATCAGCAAAAAAAAAATTGTAAAGCCTCTTTTGGCCATGCATTAAAACATCCAAAAGCATGATTACAAAATTTTCCGCCGCTCCGTCAAAACACTGTACTTTATGGCCGCCGCCAGTGTTCTATCCAAAACTCAAAGTCTCCAACCACAAAAAAATCAACAACCGAATCTTGTTCAGAGTTGATTTTTATTCAATTTCCTTCAAAATCCAAACATAGAATGTACTTGAAAGTCTATAGCTGTTGCAGTGTGATAAGAATTTTGAAAAAATTCAACTTGAATTTGTCTCAACACACTCAAAAATAATACCCATCCAAAAGAATCACGCTAGTAACTTGACAAACTTTTTAACCAATTCAATGAATGTAATTCAAAATTTAAGCTCAATAATAGCTTTGATGCAAAGTGAAATAAGAAATTTCAACAGAAAACTTTGAGTAAATCAGAATTAACTATAGATTTGGAAGCAAAACATGCATGTGAAAAAATTCAATTTCAACTAATCAATGATGGAAAAGAAGAAGAGGGATTTGGCCACCGTCTCCACCACATGTTTCCTTAAATCCGAAATACAGACACGTTTCTCCCCCAGATCTGCTGCCCGATCTAACTTGAATTTCCATGCCCAAACTAACTTGTCTTTTGCTCAGGCTCCCTATTAGAACAAGAACAAGTTTATCCTTTCTAAAATCCAGAATCAATGGCCATATGCTCGTTCTAAGCAAGCCCACAGCTCCCAAACCGAAACCCATCTCCATCCCTCAAAACCCGCCTCAAAAGTCTCCATCCACCGCCACCATCTGCCGTTACAAAGGATACTGCCAAAGCCCCGGATCCAACCGGTCGGATCCAGAACCCATTTCTCTCCGCCTCCAGCCCGAACCAGATTTGGATCGGCGGTGGTTGTGTCTCCGCTGCCTTCTTCTGGGAAACCTAGTTCGTCATTGCTCAAGTCGGACCGTTTTACACCGTCCCATCTGAGACCAGGGTTCTCGGGTCGTGAGGAGGAAGAAGAATGGTAGAGAGGCGGTCTAATCTATTAGATCTGCTTAGCAAAATGTTAAATTGCAATATTTTCCACATGATTTGAGAGGGATTTTCTTTTTGTCCTTCGGATTTCTCATCTGAGAGGGTGGTGCAGTAGCAGATGACCGTGGGGTTTCAATGCGGAAGTGAAGGAGGCTGAGGTTTTACGAAGGGGGGAAAAGGACGGCGTGAGTTGAGGAGAGGGGGGAATAAAGAATGAACTTTAAAAAATCCAATATTTCTTGAAATTAACCCTAAAAAAATACACTGAAAATAATATTTTTTATCAATATTTTATTTTACTTTCGAAATTTAAAAATTTAAAATTCAAAATTTGAAAAGACCAAAATACCCCTCAATCAACACACGTGCCTTTCACGTGAAAAATGGGTTGACTGTTATTTTTTGGATGAAACCCCAACAGAAAATCGATTTGTGACACTCTTTAATTTTTTAATGGCGCGTGGTCTATTTTTAAACATTTGGTATCAAACGAAGAAAAGGAACAACTTTTTGGTACTTTTGTTGTAATTAATTGTAAAATTTATGTCACCCAGTGGATTCAATGGAAGTTCTCTAAATATCTAATACTTGTGAGAGTTCAATTTGATCGAGTAGCAACGTAAGTTATTTTGATGTACATTTTTGAGTTTTTCATGGTCTAACCTCTATTCCTGATTTTGGACAATCGATTTTTAGTGTGGAGCATGGATTTAATTGCTTAATGCCTATCAACAAATACATCTTGCAATTCCTAAGGTTAGAAGCGTTCCAAAAGTTAATGAGCATTTGAGTATATTTGATTGTATTGAGGGTGTCTATTAAAAATGACTTCCTACCATTGTAAATGTTCTGTAGATGAGGTGCCATGTGCTTTTGCTACTGTTGATATGGTTATAACCATGTTGCTGCGACGCGTCACTAAAGCAATTCCTTGGCTTTTGAATCAACTGATGAAACTTTACGGCTAAAATATTTTTGGCTATGGCTATCGCTTTTCTTTATAGTAATTTCTTTTGCCTAGGTTATGACTTAATTGAATGGAAATTATCTTGCTTGTGCTAATCATTTGAAACACAAAATTGCTGGAGAAAATTTGTATCTGAACATCAAATGGCAGGCACAGTTCCAAATGATATACCTAATGATGGTATCAGAAAAGAATTATAAAAGGTGATGACTACAAAACTGATGGAAAATGCACAAATGATTGATGCCATTATCGGAGGAAGCCTGATGAATATTGCACACAAGATGTTGTTGCTGACGTACTTGTACAGAATAAGAGACATACTTGTAAATATATAGGCTGCTTAGTATACATGTATATACATGAGGGTTAAATAGCAACATATCAGGTCTTGTTAGTACATAGTATAAGGTCCTAATTTGTACAGAACTTATTTATTAGTTTTTCTCATTAATGAAAAACACAATTCTTACATCTCCTCAATGGCGTCTCTGATAACCCTATAATCCCAATTTCATTACCTTTGATGGTATCATAGCAGGTTTGCCTGCCTGATAACCAAAATTCCACTGCTTAATTCTTGATTCCGATCAATTTTTTCCTTTACCATTTTCTACTCTTTTCTTTACATTCTTGATTTCTTGAAGCAGCTATGGATAATCGGCACGACGAAGATGGTGATCGTGAGCAAAGAGAAGCTCGTCACGTCTTCGGAGAAGAAGATCGATTTCCCAGGCATGAAGATGACAACCATGAGTAGAGAGAAGTTTGGCGTAGCTTCAGAGATGAAGATCGATTTCGCAGAGAAGAAGATTCTGCAAATCTTGGTATATACGCTCATCCTTTGGCTTTACATGCATCTGATCATTCATGGATGTCAATTGTGGGGATAAACCTCACTGAATCTAATAGTATTTCGTCGAGTCATGCAATGCATATGAATTCAGGAACGAAGAAAAAATTAGGGTTTATTAATGGGGGATATCCACAACCTCCTGTTTCTAGTTCTGATTATGCCCAATGGATTGAGGTAAATAATACGATTATGGCGTGGAT